TCGCAACTGCAAAGCTGAGCTCAAACCTCAGGCCCACCAATAAATAAATAAATAAACAAACAACCAAATAAACAAATAGGTGGATCATTTAAATAAGAATGCTGCTAACCTGTCAATGCAGGTAAGAAAACAGAGTATACCTGGAGGGGCAGGGAGTCCAAGAATTCTACAAGCATTTTTTTCCTGAGATGGTGTCTTGCTATGTTGCTCAGGCTGGGCTTGAACTCAGGATCCTCCCGAGTAACTGGGATTGTAGGCATGAACCACTACACCTGTTTTTTGTTGTTTTTATTTGAGGTGCTAGGGATCTAGCCCATGCCTTACACACACTAGACAAGTACTCTACCACTGAGCTACACCCTCCAGTCCTCTGTAAGTATTGCAAAGCGTTTTCTAAAAGATATCCCTTTGGGAAAATAAAATAGTAAAACAAGGAGACCTGAATAAAATATGGCCAGCGCAAAACTGTATGTGGTATTTTGCATCCCTATGTATCAAGTAGAGTTTAATATTTTGCTTTTTTTTCTTTTGGTGGTACTGGGGCTTGAATTCAGAGCCTCGCATTTATGCTAGGTAGGCACTCTGCCACTTGAGCCACACCACCAGCTCTTTTTTGTGTTGGGCATTTTTTTTTCTTTTTTTTTCCTTTTTTTCTTTTGTATTGTTAATATTTTTTATTTTTTTATTTTTTTTCTTTTTCTTTTATTATTCATATGTGCATACAAGGCTTGGTTCATTTCTCCCCCCTGCCCCCACCTCCTCCCTTACCACCCACTCCGCCCTCGCCCTCGCCCTCTCCCCCCCCACCCCCTCAATACCCAGCAGAAACTATTTTGCCCTTATTTCTAATTTTGTTGTAGAGAGAGTATAAGCAGTAACAGGAAGGGACAAGGGTTTTTGCTGCTTGAGATAAGGATAACTGTACAGGGCATTGACTCACATTGATTTCCTGTGTGTGGGTGTTACCTTCTAGGTTAATTCTTTTTGATCTAACCTTTTCTCTAGTACCTGTTCCCCTTTTCCTATTGGCCTCAGTGTGTTGGGCATTTTCGAGATAAGGTCTCACTAACTATTTGCCTGGGCTGGCTTCAAACCATGAACCTCCTGATCTCTGCCTCTTGAGTAGCCAGGATTACAGACATGAGCCATTGACACCTGGCTCATATTCTGCTTTTATGATTTCAGGAATTTGAGTATGTAATCTCAGGGATATAATATTATAGCTATTTTCTCAACCATGATGCTACCTACATTCAGAAATTAGGCTGCTTCAAAGTTCCCCTCCCATGTGACAGCAAATTGCAGTCAAAATTTATTTGTCTACTTTGTCTACTTCATTAGGATCCACTAATTCCATCTATGAATTTAACAGTATACCTACATTTGATAATTACTTTGGGAAATAGTGAAAAAACAAAAAGTGGCTGTATACCAGGGAGTACACCTGATACTATCAGGTATCAGGTGTCTGGTGAAAATAACTTCCCAGAACATCAGCATCAGACAAGGCCATTCTGTGATCATATTTGAACAGAGACCAAAATATGAATACTGTCTAAACAACAAAAGAATCAACCATCCCCTTAACCTAGGTAATGAGAGTTATTGTGCTGTGCGCTGGTGGCTCACATCTATAATCCTAGTTACTCAGAGGCAGAGACCAGGAGGATCTTTAAGGCCAGCCCAGGCAAATAGTTAAGAGGTCTAGACCCTATCTCAAAAATACCCAACACAAAAACAGGGCTGGTGGAGTGGCTCAAGTAGTATAGCACCTGCCCAGCAAACCTGAAAGAAAAAAAAAAAAAGATGATTGCTTCATCATTACCAATAACACCTTTAACCACCTTCTAGACAAGACTAAAATACCTAAATAGAGAACCAGCCACCTGTTTCCTGACAGTATCCCAATCCAGAGCAAAGCTCTGGATTCAAGTTTCAAGACTTCTCCCAAACACCTGACACAACCCTCAATCTTTTACATTCTTTCTAGCATCCTCTCACTAAGAGGGTTCCCCACCCCCACCCTATAGTGTAGATTCTCCCTAACTGGAATGAGCAATTATATATACTTGTTCTACGTTAGGCAGATCGCTGTAGTCTTTGGCTAGAGAATATCAATGATGGGAAGTGAATGTACAGTTAAAATCAAATACCTCACACTCTTCTTTTTAAGCCATGCTCCCCTAACTTCCCCCTTTCTTTAATTATTTTCTGTACTCTCCTGGTTTTCCTGAGTTCCCTGCTTCTTCTGAAGCAGTTCTTGCCTTATAAATAAAGGTGTTCTATACTTAGCCCTTCTTTCAGGATCAAAGGTCCTTAGTCACTTTTGGTTCACAGTATACCCTTTGAAAATCTATTAAGAATTAAGAACTGCTTCCCAAACCACCCCCACAATCCTGTCCAGGAAACAGATGTACAATACAAATTTTTCAATTTTTGGAAAGGTTCAAAGGATTCAAGTCAAGGGTGCCTTGTCCTCCCTAGTAATATAACAATTTCAGTAATCCCTTATATATGAATGACACCCAAATCACTTCAATCTTTACCCTCTCTCAAATGTCTACTAATTGGTGAAAGCACAAAAGTGAACTCATTTTCTCTTTCAGTCTTCTGCTTTCCCATTACCCAGGTTCAAGACATCAGTATCAATTTGACTTACTACTCTGCAACAGATTAAATCTGAGCATGTCATCATCTACAGATTCTACCCGTAAGATGTCTTACATCTCTCTCCTCCTCATCCTTTTCCTGCCACTGTCCTGGTTTAGTCCTTAATTATCGCTCATGGTATACCATGGCACTAACCTCCTATAATGGCTCTCCCTGGAGCATTACTCCAACCACATCAGCCCTGCTAAAAATTCTTGAGCCACTGTCTCTCCATTCACCCATGGAATAAAATCTTAGCTAGAGTTCAGGGGCTTCCACAATCTGATCTGTTCCAACTCTTTTCTAGACACCTAAAGCTTGTTATACTGGAATCTCAATATCCCTTATAAATGGTTCATACCTTTCACTACATCCTATTATTATATTAGTATGTACTTACTAATATATTATTTCACTACATACTATATATTATTAAGTAAGTATGTAAGTACTATTACTTACATACTAAGTACTACTACTATTTTAAAAAACCTCTCCTGCCTCCAAACACTTTAGGTCACGAGGATGTGAAAAGTCAAAAAGAGGTAAATATTAAGACTAAGTTAAATTATTACTTAACACACTTCAATAAATTCAAGAAACAGAGGTTAAAATTCAGCAATATTTGCTAGGCAAAACACTATAGTGAATGTGTGGGGATTAGAATGAACCCTTCCAAATAGGAGACTCTTTCTACTTCAAGTGACAACAATGACAATTCTCTTAAACCATGAGCGGGCAGGCTAAGAAACGCAGGAAAAGAATATTCTGTGGAATGGCCAAAAAACACATGAAAAAATGTTCACCATCTCTAGCAATAAAGGAAATGCAAATTAAGACCATACTAAGATTCCACCTCACCCCTGTTAGAATAGCCATCATTAGCAACACCACCAACAACAGGTGTTGGCGAGGATGTGGGGAAAAAAGGAACCCTCTTACACTGCTGGTGGGAATGTAAACTAGTACAACCACTCTGGAAAAAAATTTGGAGGCTACAAAAAAAAAAAAAAAAGAATATTCTGTGGAGGCAAGCTTGCTACTACTACTTAGTTTGAAAGGTTTCTGTGTAAGACAGGCAGCCTTCATTGAAGAGGAAGTGAAAATGTGGCCCCAACCACCATGATATTTCCTTCTTCAAAACTGTTAAAATTTTTGCTTATGTCCTTTATAGACACCAAAGAAATTTATTTTGGGTCTTAAACTCAGGGTTTTGCATACTTGCAAGGCAGACATTCTATCACTGAGCCATGCCTCTAGTCCTAAGATCCCCACCCCCCAAGACAGGGTCTTCCTATATAGCCTGGGCTGACCTCAAACTCAAGATTCTCCTGCGTGCTAGGATTATATACATGTACTACCATGTTTGGCTAAAATGTTCTTGATATAGAGCAACCAGGTCCCTTTCAATTGATCCCAGATGTGTCTTGGTCCAGGGTCAATTTACTCAGTCATTATGACATTACGCATCTGTTCACATAGGGTGAGGTGAAAATGGAGGGAGAGGGTAGACCTAATCATTATCTACCTCCAAGTCCTGCCTCTTCACTTGCCATCCCTGTGATGTCATGCTATTTGTGCCCTTCTGTTCCAATCACATCCACTACTTAACTCAGTTTATCCTTGCCTATAATTCTGTTACATAACATACTGATTAATGTTCCATTCATTTTACTGTTACTCTAAAATTACTCCTCCACTCTCATGTCATACTTAATTTTCCTCTCTTCCAAATCCTTTTCAGAAGGTCCAAAGACCAAATGCTTACACCCTGAAATATGCCACCAGAGAGATATTCCCAGACTTTCTTATATGAAATAGCTGGGAGGCATGGCTCAAGTGATAGAGTGCAGGTGCAAGGCCTCAAGTTCAAACTCCAGAACCACTGGGAAACAAAACAAAGAAACAATTCATGACCTATACATCTTCAGATTCTATTCTATCTTTAGCTAAGTACTAAATACTTTTACATAAATTCTTACACTTAAGTTTTCACTATCATGTACCCTGAATGATGTTATAAGCATCATTATTTCTGAATCTTTTCTTTTTCTCTAACTTAAAAAGCAATGTAAACAGAGAAGGAAAACTCTCAGAAAAACTCTATAAGCAACAGTATATACAGAGGGTTAGGAGCCTAAAGAAATACATTCCTCTGTAGATATCAAAGAGGCAGAAGAAAAGGAGCAGAAAAAGAGGAGGAGGTTATTAGCAGGAAGGAATGAAAAAAAAAAGAGTAAGGCAATTCTTTCCCAAAAGTGATTGGGCAAAGGAGCAGTGAAAGGTTCCAAAGCATGGGGATCCATACATCTAAGACTTAGGGGAAAGTTCTCCAAGTCACAGACACTTACCGTGTTGCATTTTGTGCCACATACCACTTGCCTATGATTCAACCATTGAGAAGCAAACACTTTATTAAGGGTCCCAAGATGAAACTCTCTCTCCTTCAGTAGACTGGGAAGTTGCTGTGCTGCATAACCATGTAACACTCGAGAGTAGTTGGTTTCATTCTGTAGCCTGACTTCCCGGTTCTTCAGGTAGTATACTAAGGATCTCTTCACTGGAGGGAGTCTTTTCCTTTTGTGAAGCGAGTGATCCCAGCCAAACTGTGGAAATCAACATTAGAAAGCAGGGCACTGACTACCTGTCTTCAAAATAGAGATCCTACTGTATTATAAATAAATATAGCCGAGAACTCATCCTGTGTGATTTATATAAGACAGCAACACAACAGAACAAGAATTTCAATACAGAAAGTCCAACTTAATGCTTCCGCCATTGAAATAATGTTGCTCACAGTTAAAACCACATAGGGATTTGGAAGCAGAAATACAGGATAAAAGGTTCACTAGACCTTTTAGTAGTGAAGGACACTGATACCCTGTACCTATCCTTGAAAGGGAAGGGAATGAAAGACCCAATGATTCTCATTCTCACCTGGACTGCAGCAGCTCTACTCAGTCCCCTTTCCCTCTCTGCCGTACTCCCTGTAGAACATAGAGGGTGTAGCTCAAGGAGCCAGACTGGATCCCCGGTCTTCCAGGGCTATACTATCAATGGCCGCCCCTCTGTCATCACGCGCCCACTCTCCAGACAGTTGTACAATTCGAAAAACTAAAACCCCAACGGAGTGGGAGGCAGGGGAAATCAGTACGGATCCAAATACCAGAAGGCCTTCCCCTCCAGTATAGGTATGACACCTGGTAACTGTTTCAACTAGGGCTCAAGACTTTGGTATACAGACGGCGACTCCTTCCTTGATCGGGGAGACAATCAGTCCCGCTTACCGGTGCTCCTTCCATCTCCCTCTCAGTAACTCCTGGGAGGTTGGTTTTTGCTCCCGGGTTCTCCTTCCTCCAGGGCCAATATTCTGGTTTGTCCTCAAGCTCTATTCCTGTCTGCAGTACTCCCGAAGAAGGTCCCATTTCTGAGTTCCCCTCTAACTGCTCACCTATCCAGACTATCTGCACCCCAGTGAACTCTTCAAAGACCAGCCACGACTTTACAGGCACGAAATCCGCTCTCGTCCTGCCTGTGACTCACAGACACCCTTCCCCCACCCCATCTGCGGACCCGAACCCCTTGGTTGGTGCTCTGGCCTCGACACACAGGTCCCAGCCTCTAAGCCTCACCTGCGGGCCTTGAGCGTCGCTCCCAGCTCCTGGCGAGGCAGGCGCTTTCCGCTTCCTGCTAACTGCTTTCCGGGCCATAGTGGGCAGCGCCGCAGCGACCCCGCAGCCACATGGGGCGGGGGAAGCCACCGGGAGCAGGACGGCGGGTCATACACTGGGCCCCGGGGCCGCGCGCTTTAGTGCGCCTGGCCCGGAAAAATGGCCCGGACCCGGGGCGGCAAAAGAAACGGGAGAAGGACAGAAAGGAGGGAAGGAGAATCGGGGGTCAGGAAAAGAAAAAGGGAAGGGGAAGGGGAAGGGGAGGCAGGAACCAGAAGCTTTCCGACAGCAGAGTGTGGAAAGGACGGCGAGCCGCGAGAACCAAAACACCCCCTCCCTCCCCGGCCCGCGCCCTACGTCACGTTTGCGCAGCCGCATTTCGCAGCGCGTCGCCACGGAGACACCGCCTGCCCGACGAGGGCGGAATTGGACTTAGGGATAGGTGGAGAATTCGCGTCTGTTGCCCAGCCGCAGCCTGCCCCTTTCCAACGGTCATTTAGTGTCGGCTTGCTGTCGGCGAGCTGTGGCCGAAGGAAGCTGGCTTCTGGCTGAGGGCCGAGGACCCTTACTTGCCCCTCCACCCGGGGTCCGGAAGTGAGGACGAACTGCCCTACTGGCCGAAGGACTCCCTCCTAGCACGCGTCTCCACACTCTCCCTGGTTACTTCCCATCTAGCACCGCAAACTGTGACCTGGCATCTTGGACCTGGACCCTGTCCGGCAGGCAGAACTTCCCTTCCCTCTACTTGAAGGTGGAGTCTGCTCGGAAGCCAAGGCAGCATGGCCAACTTACCCTTCTGGCACAGCCAGCTCCAAACCGCCCTGCGTCCCCACCCCTAGGGAGCCCTCAGTGTCCACTCTCCATTCCACCTATTCCCTCCCTCCCTCCGCTGCCCATTCCTCTTCCGAATCCTGTCGGAGCAGCCACAGTCACCATGCCACCTCGCTACTTTTTAGATTCCCAGGACCTGCCATCAAAGCCACACTGTCTTTTGTATTGCAGGAAACACACTGTAATTGTAGGTCTCACACTTAATTTATCTGCACTACCTGCCTCTCTCTTAAAACCCAGGTTCTGTTTCCATTAAGGAAGGCTGGGTTAAATTCCGAACCAGAGGAAAGAGTGACCATTTTTGGCGTGTCCTGTTTGGACTGGCATTGGTCACCAAACAATGGGGGGTCTTCAGGATCACCCTTGCCTCCATTTTCTGAAGATCAGCCTCCTCCTTCCTCAGGCAAAGAAACCCTTGGAGGATGTTCTTGCTTGAGACTGAGTGGTCTCAGGCTGTGGTGCCCAGTTACCTGCTGATCCCTTCTGGCTTCAAGCCTCATACCTCCATGGAGCTGTGTTGGCCCACCTGAAGTTCTGCCTTCAAGAAGATTTGGATTTGTTTTCCAAGCTGAACCAAATAACAGATTAAAACAGGGTCCTCCATCCCAAGTCAGTACTGCCACTAACCCGTACTACCACCTTGAGAAAGGTATCCCCATCTTTCTTGGTCAGGCCTGTCCCTTCAGAGACATGTATACAGTGAATAGGTCAGGAGTGGGTCAGTTTCTTTTTTTAAGTCTTGTTCTGTTTCTGTCTTGCCTCACAATGCTCTGGATGACACAGGAGCCCATTGGACAAGGGTCTGGAATCCTTTGAGGACTGGAGGCGTGGTTCAAGCAACACGAAGCCCTGAGTTCAAACTCTAGTCCCAGCAAAAAAAAGTGGAATCCTTTGAAAATCTAGACTCATGCTGAGTAGTACTGGGATCCTGCTCTCCTCAGCCTGTGTCAGAGGGCATACTGGACACTGCAGGCTCATTCTTGAAGTTGAACTTCATCTTGACATCCCAGGAAGCATCCCAAATGCGCTAAACAGCAGAGCTCAACATTTCTGTAGAAATAAAGTAGAATGAAAGGCTCATTTTGATGTTTAAAGCAAATAATTGCTTTTTGGGGGGAAGGGGTGTTAGAAAATCAAACCCAGGCCTTGCACATGCTAGGCAAATGCCCCCACTCCCACATTGGTGCTGTTTTGTTTTGTTTTGTTTTGAGGTCCTGGAGTTTGAACTTGAGGCCTCACACTTAGTAGGCAGGCACTGTACCACTAGAGTCAACCTACCTGCCCTTTTTTTTTTTTTTTTTTTGAGATAGGATCTCTCAAACTATTTGCCTAGATTGGCTTCGAACCTCTAGCCTCCTGATCTCTGCCTCCTGAATAGCTAGGATTACAAGCATGAGCCACCAGCACCCAGCCCCTTCTTCATCTTTGACATGATCTGGCTATGTTGCCTAGGCTGGCCTTGGACTTTTTGTTCAACAGGCACATGCCACCACACCCAGCTTCACACAACTGCTTTTAAAACACTGTTAATACTAAGCACTGGGGAGGAAATAAAGTAATGGGAACTATCAATTTTGTAAGTAGGCATGTAATTTAGTACAACCAATTTGGAGAAATCTGTTACCTACTAAAGCAAAACATGTATGTTCCCCCCTTATTTTTAGTATTAGGATTGAACCCAGGGCTTCATGCATACTACACAAGTGTTCTAGCACTGAGCTTCCCACACCACTCTCCCCAGCCCTAAATGTTTACCCTTTGATCTAGCTGTTCTACTTCTTGGTTATAAACCCAACAGAAATGTGTTGGGCTCACCAAAAGGTATGGAGAAGAATGGTCATGGCTGGGTGCCGGTGGCTCACACCTGTAATCCTGGCTACTCAGGAGCCAGAGATTAGGAGGATCGTCATTTGAAGCCAGCCTGGGCAAACAGTTCTCAAGACCCTATCCCAAAATGCCCATCACCAAAAAGGTGATGGTAGAGTAGCTGAAGGTGTAGGCCCTGAGTTCAAGCCCCAGTACTGCCAAAAAAAAACCCACATGGTCATAATAGCCCCAAATTAGGAATAATCAATTGTCGTTCACACAAGGAATATTACACAGAAATATTACAGTACATGCAGATACTGTATGGGTGAACCTTGAGAGAGAGAAACACAAAGCAGTAATGCCTAAATGTAATGAGTAAATGTAGGAGGCTGAAGATGTAGCTTAATCGCAGAGCACTTGCATAGCATGCACAGGGTTCCATCCCCACGCTGAAAAAAAAATCATCCTGGCTTAGATGAGCCTTCATGATCTGGCTCCTATTTTTTTTGTTTGTTTGTTTTTGGTGGCATTGGGATTTGAACTCAAGGCTTCAGGCTTAGCTAGGCAGGTGCTCTTACCACTTGAGCCATTCCACCAGCCCCTGGCTCCTATTTTAAATGTAGCCATATCAAATACCATCTTCCTCCTTTCTCAGCTTCAGCTGCACTCTTTCAGCCCTTTCTAACAAAAATGCTCCCTCTTGCCACAGGCCTTGGCCACAGCTTTACCTCTATTTGTTACACTCCTTCCACCCCTCTCTGCTGTTGTGATATCTATTATTCTCAGATCTCAGTTAAAATATTACTTCCTCAGGAAGCCAGGCTGGCCTGGTTGACTATAATTCACCATTATTTTATTAGGTTTCCTATAGCATTATATGTTTCTTTTTCTTTTTTCTTTTTTGGCAGTACTAGGGTTTGAACTCAGGGCCTTACACTTGCAAGGCAAGTGCTTTGCCAGACAGGTGCTCTATCTCTAAACCACACCGCCAGCCCTTTTTGCTGTATGTATTTTTTAATAGGCTCTTGAATTTATGCCTGTGTCAGCCTGGACCACGATCCTATTATTTAGGCTTCCCAAGTAGATGGGATTGCAGGCATTTACTACCACACCCAGCTACTGGTTGAGATGGGGAGGGGGGTTCTCAAAAATTTTTTGTCAACCACCATTCTCCCAATCTCTACCTCCCAACTAGCTAAGATTATAGACATAAGCCACCACACCCATTTTATGGATAACTTTTTAAGATATTGTATTATAATGGTCAACTTTCATATCTTTCCCTTTATCTTGGGAGGTTTTTTTTTTTTTAATTTTGGTTTTTTGGCAGTACTGGAGTTTGAACTCAGGGCTTTGTGCTTGTGAGGAGGTGCTCTACTGCTTGAACCATGCCTACAGCCCTTTTTGCTCTGGTTATTTTGGAGATAGAATCTCATATTTATGCCTGGGACCAGTCTGGACCATGCTTCTCCTATTTTAAGCTTCCCACAATAGTTGAGATTACAGGTGCCTGCCATAGCACCCAGCTACTGGTTGAGATGGAGGTCTCAAGAACTTTTTGCCTGGGCTGGTCTCAAAATGTGATCCTCCCAATCTCAGCTTCCTAAGTAGCTATGATTAGAGATGAGAGCCATCAGCACCAGGCCTTTTGGGAGCATTTGAAGGCAGAAGATGACCCTTGTTTATCTCCAAATCCCTAATGCCTAGGAAGGCACCTAGTTTATTTTACATACTCCCTAAATGTAATGAGTGAAGAGTAAGTCAAATGTCCGTTTTGCAAGGTGCTCTAGGTATGTTAGCAGTAGGTAACAAACTATAGGGAAGAGACTGTGTGATGAGAATAATGCAAAAACCTACTTCTGAAATCTTGAGCAAGTCTATTTACTTATTTAAAATAGCATTTTTTCTAATTATATAATATGTATTCAAAGTAGGAACTTGAACAGAAAAAGAAGACATGAAAAAGTTACCATAAGTCTACTCTCTAGAGATAACTACTGTTTACATTTTGATGTGGGATCTTCTTGTTTTTTTTTTTTTTTGTATGCACCTATATCTGTACCCATATGTCCATATGTAGTTGTTGTTGTTCTTTCTTTCTGTACTGGGATTTGAACTCATGTCCTTGCACTTGCTAGTTAGGTGCTCTACCATTTGAGCCATGCCCCCAGCTCTAGTTCTTTTTGAGACAGGCTCTTGCTACTTTGCCCAAGCTGACCTCAAACATAAGATTCTCCTGCCTTGGGCTGATGGAGTGGCTTGAGTGGTAGAGTGCCTCCCTAGCAAACATGGGATCCTGAGTTCAAACCCCGGCACTGCTGAAAAGAATTAATAAAAGATTCTCCTGCCTCAGCCTCCCTAGTGTTGGAATTGCACTATCATACCTGCCCTCCCATATCTACTCCTTTTTAAAGATGATTTCAAATACTATTTACAGCTTTTTTGTCTCATTAGTTTGCTCAGGCTGGTCTTAAACTCCTGAACTCAAGTGATCCTTCTACTTCAGCCTTCCAAGTAGCTAGGTTTACAGGCATGTGCCACCATGCCCAGTTTAGCTTTAAATGAAAACCCAACAGGCTCAGTTTACTCCACCCCTGCTCCTGCAAATAAATCCTTGTCACCATTTCATCATAATGCAGGGTGCTGGAGGCCCATCATTGAGCTGGAGACCCAGGATCAAAGCTGTTATCTTGAGAAATGATATAAAATGTTTTAGACAAATTTAATTGTGTTATAA